CACAGCTGAGTACAGTGGGGTCCTTCTCCTTTGATAACTTTGTTTTCAGGCCATGAATGCATATGCGAGTGTCCATTATGGTTTCTGTGGTTAGACAGCAAGCCTCAGGTGACCTAGGTCTGTATGATGCCTCAAGGAGGCATAGCAGGATTTAATGGGAACTGATAAACATGGAGGCAGAAGGTCAAACCAGTTTCCATTATAGATGGTGTTGACCATGAACTCAGTCCTTAGGTCACAGGAAATCTGACCGTCTGCCCAAATGCAATGGTCACCAATGCCAGATTGGGTCAGTTGAGGTCTTTATCTAGCTGAGCCTTGAAAACCTCCATGGGTAGAGACTCTACTGCCTCTGTGGGCAACTCACATCCTAGTGACATTTTTTCCTCTGATGGCCACCTTAAAAGTCCCAAGACAGAACCTGTGTCTGCTGCCTCTTTTTGTACTGGCCACTTCTATGTTGCCCCTGTAACTCCTTTCCAAACTCATGTCAGCTGCTAAGAGGATCAGCCTGAGCTGCCTTGTCTCCAACCTGCCCACATCCCTCAGCCTCTCCTTGCAGTCTCCTGCCATCTTGGTATCCTTGAGCCAGACCAGTTTCCTACACCCCTCTTAAACTTGGGGGTCAACGGCTGGAAAAAACCAGCCTGACTATGTCAGGGCCCTGAGGGCACCACTGAGACTGGTTTCCCCTGCCCAAGCCCAGGGCTTCCCCTGCCCAACCCCAGGGCTTCTCCCTCCACCCTGCCAATGGCCCAGGACCCCATATCAGACTTTAAAGGCAAGTCACTGGCCTTTGTTTTCTGGTGGTAAAGTATCTAGAAACAGACTTGCCTTAGAAAGGGTGCTGAAACACCCAGTGTAACAACCATCTGCTGCCTGAAGGTTTTGCTTTACAGCCTAAAATACTTTATTCCTTTCTCAGTAACGCATTTTCAGGAATGTTATTCTCTTCAATTATTTTAATTAAAAAGTTATGTGGTACAATGCCCCACACACTCAATTTTTGAGGGCAAAGTCCTGGTTCTCCTGGGAAAGCTTTTACCACTGACCTGACTTCACCCTAGACTTCTCTCCGAGACCAAGCGAGCTGCAAGCACCACAACACTAGCCGTAAATAAGCGCCCCCCCTTGCGTGACTTCCCTCCACGACTCTCAGATCCCCAAAATGAAGTCTTGCTACAGCTCTTCCGTAGAAGGCGAGCAGAGCACCTGATGTGCCAAACATGTCAGGATCAGTAGCCATTTATTCCTAACTTCAAGGTTTTTCTGTGCCAGACACGGTCAGAGCCACGGCACCACTCTTCCAGCGTGTTGCATTACCAGGACTTCCTTCTTCAAAAACACCCCACTGCTTGCAAGACCGTGGAATTACGTATGTGTGTGTGCGTGCGTGTGTGAGACACTCCTGCAATGCGATCAGTAACTGAGGCTTCTCAAGGGTCAACAGAGGGCACTGAATCAAATTCCTTGGAAAATCTAACTATACCAAACTCGGCTGAACAATCTATCTATCTTATCTATTGCATCTACTTTTACTACTTATCAGCCAGGCAAACATACCATCCTTCAAGTTATTTCAATATATGCTCTGACTGAGATGCTGTAAAAACTTTCCAAGTTTCAGTGAATTCTTGTCAATGACATCAGGGACATTTTAAAAGTTTTTATGTATATTTCCTTATCTAATCAGTCAAATTATGCTTTAAGGTTCAACTGAAGTGACAATTTCATTGGGCTTTGTTCCTTGTAAAGGAAGTATTATTTACCTTAGAATACAATACTCTTGGACTTTGTTTATACAATAGATTTTTAAAACACTTCCCACCGTTGATTCAAGAACACTTACTTCATGAGTGTCATTGTGAGCCTTCCTGTTAACCATGCACCTGCTCCTTCTACTGTTCAAAGAATGACATGGTATAATAGCCCTGCTTGAGGAAAATATGCTGAAAAATCAGGATTATGTTCAAGAATGAGGGGAAGATGCAAAAAGACTCATTACAGCCTGCACTTGTGAAATCAGAGAACCATGGAGTGATTTGGGTTGGAAGGGACCTTAAAGATCATCCAGTTCCAACCCCCCCTGCCACAGGCAGGGACATCTCCCACTAGAGTGGGTTGCTCAGAGCTCCATCCAACCTGGCCTTGAACACTGCCAGGGATGGGACACCCATAATTTCTCTGGGCAACCCATTCCAGTGCCTCACCATGCTCACAGAAAATTTCTTCTGTGTATCTAACCTAAATTTCCACTCCCTCAATTTGTACTCATTACTCCTTGTCCTATCACTACAGTTCCTGATGAAGAGTCCCTCTCCAGCTTCCCTGTAGACCCCCTTCAGATACTAGAAGGTTGCTTATCAACTTCATGGCCCTCCTCTGGACTTGCTCCAACAGTTTCATGTCCTTTGGTGGGGTTCTCAGAGCTGGATGCAGTACTCCAGATGGGGTCTCATAAGAGCAGAGTAGAGGGGGCATATCACCTCCCTCACCCTGCTAGCCACGCTGCTTTGGAAGCAGCCCAGGATTCAGTCAGCTTTCTAGGCTCTGAGTATACACTGCCAGCTTGTGCTGAGTTTTTCCTCAACCATCAAACCCAAGTCCTTCTCCACCAAGCTGCACTTTAACACTTCTCTGACAAATTTGCAGGTGTGCCTGGGATCAAATACGTCTCCTCAATTCATATAAAACCAGTGTGTAACGTTTTGCACAAGCCCAGCTTGACAATGTTAGTTGCTTTGCCCCTATCCACCAATGCTATGTATACAGCATTGCAAACACAAATGTATTTTTGAGAGATGTGTAAACAGAAGTGTATTTTGCTGGAATGTGAGTGGAAACATGCACCCAAGATTCTCCTCTAGAAATACAAAGTGTGCAAAAACTCCACGCAAGCACACTACTGTAGCTCTCACAAAAGGGTAACCCGCCCTCTGCCCTGGTAAACCAGAGTCTTAGAGCTGGCCATGATCTTCAGCCACCTTAAGAAGTCCATCACATCTGAACCACTGACTCGTCAAACCTAGCTCACTCACTAGTCTCATATAGCCTTTTTTTTTGTGTGTGTGGTCTAAAATATCTTTAAATAATAAATTTCAGCCACTGAGCTTTGGACACTGTTTTATTTTGAAATTGCCAGTGCTCCTTTTTGAGATTACCTCCAGACACATTTTGGATGATCACACACGAACTGTTTACACTGCTTTGACACGCAGTGATTGCAGCCTTCCTCACAGCCCTGGTCCCTCTGGCAGACGTGGGTCAAGCCCTGTGTACATAGAGGAGGGAGATTCTGCCATAAAACGCACCCTCCTCGGCAATCTTTTCTTCCCATGGGAACTAGGGGAAAACTTGCTTCTGTTCCCACCTTCAAATATTTATGACAGAATTTACAGCCCTAGTTTACGTTAATCCATCCTAAAAGTGAGGATCGCCAAGTAAAGCACTGCCCACACCTCCTGCACATGAGCAAACATCTCCTAAACCTTGATCTCTAACAACAACGGTAATAAAGAAATGTCAGTTTTGAGATATTCCATGTCAAAAAGCTTTCCAAGTGGTTTGTTACAAAATGGGGCTCCAGCCAAATTAACCAGAGAGTCTGGTCCTTCTACTACCATTTACATGAAGACAGCCATGGCTTACAGCTGGCTGAGAGTTAATAACAAGGGTACATAAATCAGACTTCATTAATTTTCCACTGTGTATGAAGATCTAAGGAGACCTGACATACTTCCACATGCAGAGTTCCCGGCTGTCAATTCTGCAGACCTATGAGGGACTGTGTCAAGTCACAGCTTCCCAGTTGGCTGGATGTGTCCCGCTCTATCACAGCTGCTACTCAAAGAGTTCCACTCCTCAGGGGTGAAGACCCATGCTGGTAAGAAGGAAAGGAACTCAGAGCACTTTGCCACCCCACCACCACATATGCCTCTCCTCTCTTTGAGGAGAAGACTTGGGAGCGCACAAGCCTAAAAGACAAAGGCACTGCCCCTCTTGGGACATGGTTGCCAGATGTGGTGAGCTAGGATGGTCTCCTGAAGCAGGAGGCTTGGAGCAAACAGCTCTTAACCTCTTCTGGGGACTTTCCTTCTTTCTGATATGAAGAAGAAAAAAGCATGAACCCAACTCCAACGGCATTTCCATCCACAAGTCTATTTTATGCTCCTGCTTGACATGGCAGGTCTGCCAGCCGTGATAGACCTGACAGGTTCCGATATGGAGGCTCAAAGAAATGTGTCCTTAGGTTTTCTGCACATGCCACAACTATGACTCATTTTCTGTGGTTACAAGAAGACAGAGACAACCTAGCAAGCCCAGAGCAATCAAGTGATATGCCTGAAATGTATGAATGATGCATACATTTACAGGCATCATTATATTTCTCAATTAGGATTCCAACTACAGAATTTCCAAGGGAAAAAAAACAGATGTGGGCAGGGGAATGGAGACGATATCTTACAAATGATGATTCATGGCACATTCACCATGCTGACACCTGAGCACAAGAGATTTAACAGGTATCTGGATACCAGTGATCTGGTTGATCACATTGCATGAATGGGAATCAGCATCATCCAGAGCTGTAAAAAAAAAATTGCTTGAGAAAATTAATTTTATCAAACGTTAAAGCAATTGTCAACTTCAGTGGGACGGGGGATGTGTTGACCATGGACAGTCCTAGTGAAAGCAGCTGACTCTTCACATGCTGCCTGTTGTACCAAAATTACTGTTTGACCTACACACAGCAGGAATGGTCATCAAAACTCCGTCCTGGTTAAGGGTTTAAAGGAAAGAGCAGCAACCTTACAATGAGTAACGTGTCAGGAATGGGTAAGTGAATATTAAAGGTGTCAAATATAAATGGCAAGTTAAAAGGTGTATATGAATGACATAGGAAGCTGAAGGAATTACTGAAAGGCTCCACAGCATTACAGGTAGCACCAGACATGGAGCCATTTCAAGAGACAGGAAAGTCAGGAACAGCGGAACAGAAATATCAGCTGCCTTCAGCATCTACTTCTGATTGCGATTCTATTTTGGGATAGATTGTTTTATGGAAAAGTACCAATGCACAGGCACCTTCCACAGCCACCATGTTTACTTTCAGCCTTCCCTGAACTGGGAAAGCTCCACAGCCACAGGGTGTGAAGAGGAGGAGCAGCTGATAAGCCTCTGGCCCTGATTTTCACAATACTGACTCAGAGTGGATCAGCTCCCTCCGAGGCTGTCACTGCCACCACACCACCGCCAACCTGCCAGGAAAGATTCAAACAACATGACTTTGCAAGTCAGCAGGTCAACAGGTGAGCAGGGGTCAGCAGGTCCTGTGTTCAGGTTGTGTTCAGAGGTTGGTGGGGACTGGGGATGCCATCATGAGACAGGCTGGAGAGGGGCAGCACGGCACTGTGGCCCCCTCCAGCAGCTCTCACTCCTTCTTCTCTGCCGGGATCTGCACCAGCTGGGGCGCAGCTGTGTGCAGCAGCACGAGCCCGCCCAGTGTCACGGAGAGGCCGACCCACCACAGAGGCGACCACGTCTCCCCGAAGAGCAGTTTGCCCAGGATTGCCTGAAGGAAAAGAGAGACATAAAGCTTTGCTGGGCTGAGCTGCTCCAAAGCCTCCTGCACTGCCAGAGCTGTGAGGACTTCTCCTGGGAGAGATGGCCCTGGGGAAAAAACGTGCTTGAGGAAAACTCATGCTGGGACAACCAACAGAAACGGCTGCTGTGGGTGATGCTGGAAATGACTGACTCTACTATCCAGCCTGGAAGCGCAGCTATATTGTGGTCCCAAAGCAGGACTTTGGCAGATGCGTGTGTGCTTTGCTGCCTTCCCATCACTTCCCAGGAGCCAAATCTCCTGTTGACTGGGCAACTTCAGTCGATTATTGGACACCACTATGAGCTGTCTGCCAGTTGGAGCACAGATACAAGGTGGATTGCTGCCAAAAGTGAAAAGCAAGCAGAAAAAACGTGCAGGTCAAAGATCCTCTTGCTGTCACTAGTGGCAGCGCATCTTCACACCGCACTAGGGTTACTCTGGCTTGTCACAAGTGAGGTGTTGCAAAGGAAAAGCAAAACAAAGCAAAGCAAAGCTCCTGGCTCTGGCTCTCACTGGCAGTTATTAAAGTTCAGCTGTACAGCTGCCGCAAGGCACCACGCTGGGTAGCAGTGCTCCTCCTCCTGCACCATCCAGAAAAGTTCCACTGCTTCTGCTGTGAACAACTATCAAAGCAGCTGAGGCCTGATGCAATCATTTCATGGCTGCCTGTAACCCTCCCTTTGTGGCCACTGATGCTGGTTCTGCTGGCAGATGAGGTAAGACCAGTGGCATCCAGTGTGAGCACTCTCCCATCGCTGTGCTCCTCAGGCTTCAGTGCCTGGGGAAGGGATCTACTCACCGAAGAGATGAAGTTGGAGGCTGTCGTCGTCACAGAGGCAGCAGCCGAGGAGGAAGAGAGTCGCAAGGCTTTTGCAAAGACCGTCCACATCACCGCATTGCACGCAAACACCAAGCCAACACAGCTGACACGAAGCAGCACTGGCAGCTGTAGGGCAAAAATGAAAAGCCTGTGTATTTTCACCTCACTAATTCATGGGCACTTTGGAGCCAAACCCAACGGCGTGGGCTTTTGAAGCTGAATTACACTGCTATTACATGAAGGCGAATATATAACTCACAGGAGGAAATGGAAGCGAGGACACAGCCCTGGACAGCGTGTGAGCCTAGTGTGTCCCGCTGTGAGTTCAGCCTCAGACTATAGGCTAGGAGGTGCTACGACAACATGCTGCAGCTGCTATGCCAGAAGCCAAATTTCAGAACACTCTCCAGCTCATGATGTGGTGGACACAAAATGCAGGGATATGCCCTTTACTCATCACTATACATATACAGATGTATAGAAAAGGGTGAAATTCAGAACTGACAGGGAGAAATATCAAAGATGTAAATGCCGGCGCTGTGTTGAGTCCAGGACCCAACTGGTGTGAATTTGGACTGAGATCCCAGTGGTCCCAAAGCACTGGTCCTCACCAGCTCCAAGGACCTGGCCTGCATTACTGCTGCAGTGAGGGCAGAGCAGAGTTCTCTATGAGGAAAGAGAGAGCTGAGGGGCTTCATGCCTTATCTTGCACACTCAGTGAAGAGCAGATTTACTGAGAGGTCTACACTCTAGCATTTAGCAGCAATAAAGCCACCTCTGAATTCAAGGCCTGTCAAGGCCATTTGGGTCCTCAAGAAAGACCTCCCTCCTTAGACAATCTGACCACACATGCAACAGCCTCAGTCTGAAAAAAGGGCACAAAAGCACAGGGACCACACAAGGGCAAGGGAAAGCAAATCTCTGTCTAAGCCCATAGTAATCATGGCTTCACAGCCCGCCACCTTTCAGACCATGGTGGGATTCATCTTGAAGAAGACAGAAACATAGGTGTGAAGTCACCAAAAGACACAGCTAAGAGGTGGTACCTGTCCCATGGGAATGGCTGCACTGCAGCACCCTACCAGCTGCTCAAATCATTGGGGACCACCAACTCTGCTCTCCTCCCACTCAGAAGAAAAAACTTTATGCTCTAAGCAGACAGGGATTTCTGAAGCGAGTGATGTTGCGAGTACAAAGTTAAAAGGAAAAGACTGCAAAGCAAATCCCTGCTCGATGGCTGGTTCAAGCTCTCCGAGGCTAACCCTACTCCGGCGAGTGACAGTGCAGGCGTGTGGTCTCATTTTGCCCCACCTGTGGCAAAGGTCTCCAACCTCATAAGGGCAACAGTAAAAATCCAATATGACCCTCACCAGTGAAGCACTTTGCTTTCCTACCACCCCCCTGGCCAACCCTATAGGGAGGGAGAAGAGGGACAACCATTCCCAGATACTACCACACCTCTGAGGATGAAAACTTCTGCCATGTTATGGCTCTCCATGGGATGGGGTTTGCCTCCCAGTTTCACCCTCTGCCTCTATGACCAGACAGTTTCACCTTCCTTGGGGCAGTTATGTACATCCACACACTTCCAGTGGTTAGGCAGATCTGGGAGTAAAGAGATGAGAGGGTAAAACAATTCTCCGTGTTTCACCTAAATACAATATCTTTCCATAGTCCAGGGGTTGGATCAGAGACCTCCACAGGTCTTGCCTGACTGGAATTTGTCTGTGAGACTATCAGTGGTGAAACAAAGCTGGCTCCCACCATCACAGCAACTATGTTATGTTCAAAACTGACCTTCAACCCACAGGTTTTTACTCTGATCTTCTTCCATTGCAGAGCCAGGGAAATCAGCTGCAGTATTCTCTGCAGGTGGCATATGCCCAGACTGAAGGTTTACCAGAGAAAGGTCAAGTCCCTCTGCACCTCAGGCAGTGGAGTGGTCATCACAATGGCATGCAGACAGAGAGATAGGAACATCCCCAAGTGTTTCCTTCCCCACAAGGAAGGAGGGAGATATAAATTCCTCCCCAGCTAGAGACTCAGCTGAGCCACCCCAGTGAGTCAAGGATTACTGTTCTGATTGCTTTTCTAAGCAGAGATTAATTTCAGTGTACATTTCAGATAATCCAGAATCACTCCTGAAGTGGCAGAAGTAATTTTAGATGAAGACTGGCAGGGGAGCGGAGAAAGCAAAGTAAAGCTTTTGTTCCAGTGAAATGACCCCTCCTGGTCAGTTTGCTCTCATGCTTGGCCATCCCAACACATCCTTCTGGCCAGGAAATCCCTCTTTGTGCTGCTGCTGAGTATCCTGCTACCCTACATTATGAGCTCTTAAAAGCATCAATACACTTTTAACATTTCCTGGCCCATTCCATGCTGCACAACAGATGGCTGCTCTTATACTGACTTTGAGATTTCTGTAGCATTTCTTCCTTAAATGCAAAACTCCTCCAATCTCTTTGGCCTCGAGGCTGCTCTGCAGAAATGCCTTTGTAGCAAGCATGCAGGATTCAAAGGGAGCCTCTGAAACGCTTTAAGTGTCTACAGTCCTGCACAATTTAAGCCCCTAGGAAGATTATGGCATCTACATAAAGCCTGGTTAGTTTTACAGCTAAACTGATTAACTTAATTGTCACCTAGAACAGACCTGAAAACCAATTTACCCAGAAAAAAGAAACACAGTCACAAAATCACAGCATGGTTGAGGTTGAAAGGGACCTCTGGAGTTTATCTGGTCCAACCCCATCACTCTTAGAGCAGGCTGTCCATGTCCATGTCCAGACAGTGTTTGAATATCTCTAAGGAAGGAGACTCCATCACATCCCAGGGCAACTTGTGCCAGTACCTGGTCACTCTCACAGCGAAAATGTGTTTCTAGATGTTCAGAGCAAACCACCTGTGTTTCAGGGTTTGCCCATCACCTCTAGTCCTGACACTGAGCACCACTGAAAAGAGCCTGACTCCATCCTCTGTGCACCCTCCCTCCCTGCAGGTATTTATACACATTGATCAGATCCCCCAAGCCTCCTCTTTTCCAGGATGAACAGTCCCAGCTCTCTCAGCCTCTCCTCATAAAAGAGATGCTCTGGTCTCTCCATCATCTTTATGGCCCTTTGCTGGACTCTTTCCAGTAGCTCCATCTATTTTTTTTGCACTGGAAAGCTCTGAACTGGACTCAAAACTCCAAGTGTGGCATCATTAGGGCTGAGTAGAGGCAAAGGATCATCTCCCTTGACCTGCTGGCAACACTCCACGTCAGTGACATGACACTTTGTCATAACACTTAAAAAAGAAAAAAAAAAGCACCAACCTCCCCCCCCAAACAAATACACAATATTTTTTACAGATTTCATCAGAGAAAAATACTCAGAAAAGATTTTGTCAACATTTGCAGTAATTCCATGCTCTGGTATTCTGTCAGTGCAGAATACAATTTGGGGATTTTTTTTTTTTGGGGGGGGGAGGGGTTGGAAAGAGTATCAGGATTTAAATTTTTTTATTTTCTTTTCTGCTACCCTTTCTGATCTATCAGAAAAGATCAAAAGGATTCACAGATACCGAGTTTTTGCCTTTTTAATCCTTTCTAATAATCACACAGACTGATTTTCTTTTTTTTTTTTTTTCCCTGGTGCACGGCTGGATTTTTTCAGCTCTAGTTTCAACTCCAAATGTACATTTGCCATATGAGTAACAACCTATACCTAAATTAACCTCCCCGATGTGTTTTTAGGAGACGTGTACGCTGCCTACCTCAGCATCTCCCCACTCACACACGACCTCGTGTACCTCCCCACCTCTGCTGTGCCTGTGCCACAGTCCACCCCTGTAGGTAAGGACACTGCTGCTGGGGTGAAAGGACAGCAGTCCCACGTAACCTCAAAGCACAGGGAGGTTTGAGAAACACAACCGAGATAAAGATCACCACCAACGAACACACGAGGATCAGCCGAGCAGCACAGGGGAAACCAAGGGCTCCACCTGCCTGCTCTGGTACGGACTGAGCTAAGAGAGTTAAGAGGGAGAAGAGTAATGTTTAAGCAAAACAGTGGACTAAGAGCAATCGTTTAGCGCTACAGAGTACTGACATCCTGCTTTCAAAGTAACACTGACGTAGAACCACTGCAAATGCAGGGCTGGGCTTGGTCCGGGGCATTCCCGCACTACGCTTGTTGTCTTTACATCTTAGCAGCCTCGCTTCCCTCTCCCTGCTCCTTGTTTACGTCGACACCGCGCATTAGTCAGCCCTCCAAGGCTGGGTTCCCCCAGGAGGTGACTCAGCGCTCCGCTCTCCGAGACCGCCCCGCTTTCCCTACAAATCCAGGGCAGCCCCTGGGAGTGCAGGAGGGAGAGGGGGGGCGCTCCCGCCAGCGCAGCCCTGTGAGTACCAGAGCCGCCTGCTGGGCGGCCGCACGGGCGCCCCCAGCCCCGCCTCCCTCCTTCCTTACCGGGCCGCCGGCCGCCTCCTCGCCCGGCCCCAGCGCCAGCTTCGCCGCGGCCGCCGCCGCCGCCCCGAGCAGCCCGGCGAACGCCGCGGCCGCCCCGCCGCCCGCCCGCATGGCCCTGACGGCCCGCACCGCCCTGACGGCCCGCACGGCCCTCACTGCCCGCACGCCGGGCCCGCTCGGCCGCCTCAGGGGCGCGGCCGCCGCAGCGCCGCCCCGAGCACGGGCGGGCCCGCTCCCACAGACACAGCGGCGGCCGGGAGCGAGCGAGGGGCAGGGAAAAACGCACGGGTGCGATGTTCGTTTATATACAAAGGCTTTATTTGAGCGGACAGAAAAGGAGGGAGTAGGAGAACAACGCAGGTCAGACCGTAGCCACACACAAACACAGAAAAAAGGCAGAAATCGCCTACGTGGAAATAGTCCCGTAACAGACAGGGAGGGGACATTTGTAAACCTAGAACGCGGCAGTAACAAATAAAGCACGCAGGGGACAACAGGTGTGTTATCCTTGATGTTCTCCTCTAGGCCTCGTCTGAACTAGATTGTCTACGGGGAGAAAAACCCAAACCCTACGACATTTATAAGGTCAGTTTTTTACTCCTGTACATCACATCAGAGCTCAAGTAGGAACTTGAACTTAGGCAACTTTAACAGGCATAGATAAGGTGGAAGAAGTTCTTCTTCCCCTCAACCAAATCATGCAGAAACTCACTAGGTCTATCCTGCCTTTTATCAAACACGTCTTCCGCTTTGCTCAGTTTTGCCCCAGCACTTGTGGGCAAAAGAAGTACTGTATGAAGTAGCCAAAAACTAGAATGATAGGCTTACTGGCAGTAAAAAAAAGAGCCTGCTTGATAGTGCTAGATAAATCAACATTTCATGTATCTGCAATAAATCTTAAGTGCAATTAAGTGAACTTCTGCTGTACTCCTAAAATGTTCTGCATATTTTCACAGCTTCTTTCGTAACACTAACTTGTTTGATAAGAAAATGGTTGCAAAATACTTAGAATTTCCTACAATTCTATATTAGAAGTCTACTATAAGTCTATAATAGGGGAAAAAAGGGTTGAAAAACATTTTAACTTCATATAGAGAAAGAACAGAAAGGCAAAATATATTTATAGTGCTATTTACAAGTCTGTTACTAAATTCACATTTATGCCTTATTAAACAAAGTTCAATATGAAAATTATTTTTAAGCAACCCAGTAAAATCATCCTATGTTTAGCTAAAGAAATAATCACAAAGAAGTTGTGCTTTTAAAATTTTGGCTCTGGTGGAAAATGTAGCATTTCAGAAGAGGTAGGAAACTGAACAAAAGCACAAAAGGAAACAAAGATCCAGGTGTGTTCCCAGTGAGAAAGCTTTTCCTTGGCAAGGTACAAAAGTTCCAAGGAAGTATCTTCCAGCACCTATACAAAATCAGTTTTGGAAATTGAAAATTACAGGAAGGTGTTAATATGTCATTGGAAGCTGCCCACATAGCTGGTATAACATTCTTCACGAAGAGTTATTACCAGCAAAAAAAAAAATATATCTATGAAGTAAAATACTTGATTATTCCAGGACCACAGCAAAAGTCAAGTTTGACAGATGGCTTTTGCTTATTCTGTACGCTTCAAAAATATGGCTCTGCAGTTTTATTTGTGTCATTACATCTGATCATAATGTCTACAAATGTCACATTTTTTTGATTCTTTCAAAAAAGCGTTTTCAATGCGTAGTTTTTCAGTCTCCTGTAAAACAGAAAAAAAAGCATGAGTATATTAAGGAAATTTTCCTCGCATCTTTTATATTTCTAAGTAAGCGGTTTCTGTATTTGTTCGAGTGTTTTATATATTATATACTTGGGGAAATAAAACAGGGCAATCCTTGTCTGGGGCTTGTGAGGAGACGGACCAGTCATGACTTACTCAACTGCATAAAATCTATTGCTCTCCAACAGAAAAGCAAGAATTTTAGTTGTCATTCTCAAAGCTCAGCTCTCTTCTATGTCAGGTCATTACTTCATCTGTATTCTACTCTGCAGCTTACCTCAGTGAGCTTAGCGTTATCTTTCTTCAGTTTCACAAGATACTGAATCTTCTGGTTTAGGTTTTGATGACCAAGTAATTTCCCGTTCTCCTCAGCAAGAGAGTCAACTTGCTTCCTCAGCAATTCTATTTCCTGTAATTAATATAAATACATGGTGTACCTGTTAGCAGTAGCCTCTCCTTTTTTCAGAAGAAGTAGCTTCTTAGAGCTACAAACATACTAACATTTAGGCTTGTTGTAACATATGATGCAAGAATTGGTTCATTCAGGAAATACATATTTGTCTTATGTCTCCTTAGATACTATGTTAGATCCTTCTAAAGGTCAAAAAAGAGCACTAATTTATTTGATTATGAATTGCAACACTGTTTTCGGTACCCAGACTTCCACTAATGCACAAATATTACAAATACAACTAAACTGTAAGACCTCTACTACTGCTGAATAAGATTCTACTGTAAAGACGAGAAAAAGATTATACATGTGTAACCTTTTCAGTTCTGTCTCTTTCTTCATATGCTTCCTCCAGTTTTGATCTAATGTCTTCTTTTTCATTAAATGCTTTGAGCTCCAAAGTTCTTGTTCGTTGTAGCTCCAGAGCCATTTGACGACAGGTATTCTCTTGGACTCTGAGGATATTTTTGGTCTCTTCTAATCTGTCAATATACAAGAAGCATAAAAAACTTTAAAACCAATATAAATGGCATATAAGTGAATTACTAAGTCAGTCCTGGACATGGAGGGAGGCTCCTTTAAAAGTGTCCTTCTGAAACAATATATTTTTCTTAGAACTTAGTGTTAAGGGAAGGAAAAATTACATTCTGCTCCACAGCTCTTCTGTTTCATACTGTCAACTAGGCAGTGTTTTGGAGATGCTCTTTCTCTTTGGTAACTGTGCTCTTTGGGAACTGTTTGCAATCCAGGAGACACAACTCCACTTAGGAGAAAGCAGAAACAGAAGCTTCGCCTACAAGGACTCTTTGAATTAATCCACCAAAGGAATGTAAATTTTCAAGTTTCCCCTAGATTGCTTGTCTGTCTGTGACTTTTCCCCAAGTGGTTTTGTTGTTCGGAAACATCTCTGAGCATCTCCAATGGCCTGAGCTTGTTTGGCCTGGTAACAGAAGGACCACCGCTTAGGATAGAATTAAAACATTTTAGCAGATGTCTGTAAGGCTCACAGAATATTAAACTGTGCCATCAAACTTCTGAGCCTGTCTACTGATTATGTGAAACTTTAGTAATTTTCTGAGTCTATTCAAATATTGTATAAATTAAATTCTTTTTGTCATCAGTTTTGTTTTACTGAAGCCTGGTGTTTAAGACCTACTGTGTGAACAGTATTTATTTTGTACATTTGTCAAGACATTTTCTTAATGAGGAAAGAATATTTTCCCTCTTTGTGCATTATTTGTTTGTATGATACCTTGCAGCACTGTTATAAAGCGTATTTCAGAGACCAGACAGGTATGAAAATACAATACATCAAATAGCAAAATGATCCCTAATTGCCAGACTAGGGTTGCTGGAAAATTTAACTGAAAGATACTTTTGAAATGATCATGTGCATAAAAACTATCTTCCTCCTTAAAAGAAGTTACTTACATAGAAAGCAGACCATTAAATGCAAATAACTCAAGTATTACAAGATTCAGCCACTGTGAATCCTGAAGAGTACAGATTAGGAAAAGAAGAGCAGGACCAACATTTTCAAACTAATGTTTATCTATTAATTCAGTATTTTCTTTCTTTGCAACTATCCATCCAAGGTGCAAAACATTTGAATGTTGAGGACTATTTGCGCAATTGTGCAAACACAAACTAGGAGTCCTCTAATAATAAAAAATTTTCATTATCCAACATGAACTGCAAAAATTTAAACAAGTAGCATAAAAAGAAAATAATTAGATTATATTTAAAATTATAAAAGTTATGATACTAATAAAGAAATGAACAGTATTTCAATTCAATTTGAAAGGGGATGTGCTTAGAATTCATTGCATGTATAAAACTTAACACATAAATAACTTTAAGAATTAGAAATGTCTCTTCCAATTCAAGTTTTTACGGTTCTACCTATTTCAGAGTATTGTCCTGACATAAGGCTATCCTTTTCAGTAAATTTAGTAATAGGTGCTGCTACCACCTACTGATGAGAAAGAGTAAGAACTTAATGTGTGTCGCAAAAGTATAAACATTTCCAAATTATGTCTTTTATAAATTCAGATATTGGACTTTAGTGCTTAAATATAGCTTTTTTCATAATTAATTAGTTTAATACAAGTTTCCAGTTCAAAGAACAATATTTAGACTTACTCTGCTTTCATTTTCAGCATTTCCTCCATTGCTTTATTCTGTAAAAATTCAAAAGCATTAGATACAGTCCTAATGTTTAACATACAGATATATATTTAAAATTATTTATCACTTAATTGATGCTGTGTATCTCATTACAGATCCTGCCAAAGTCATCCTACTGCTCCGTAGCTCACATCTCTAATAGTCACTTTAAGTTTGCCTCTTTGCTACATGCAAGTATTTCCCATTTCATGCCAGCACAAATGACCCACAGCATATCTCTCTGCCCACTCACACACAGCAAAGCTCTAACAGGGAAATCCATGGCAGTCTCCGCTGTGACATTAACTTCCCTTTGACACAGACCTGACATTAGCAAGTGACACAATCTTCACTTTCCAGCTCTGTGGAGATGAGTCAGATTTCACAATCTGAATCTGTTTTTGTTTCTTGTGTAATCTGACACCCTGTTCACTGGTGTCAGGCTGAGATAGAAACCCTAAGAGCTAAGTGTCAGGCTATTAGAAGTCACTACAAATCAGTGTTTGTTTCACCACTGTGAAATAGAAGAAAACAAGTTCATACTTCACAGCAGGTCAACAGCAACTGACATGAGAACGATAATATACCTTGGCAAGTCGTTCCTCAGCAATCTCCTCCTCCTTCTCTTTGAGCTGCTGAACATCAGGATGTTTCTGATCACTAGGAAATTCAAGAATGAAGAAAGTTTCTCATAAATAAAAGAAACAAGTTGTAAAAACATCTTGCCCAGATTAA